CGGGCACCGCCGGCGCTTTGAAAGCCGCAGGGCCCTCCCCCGCGCCCTGCCCGTCCCGGCCCACAGCTTAGAGGGAACATTGCGCCCAGGGCAACGACTCACGCAGGTGCGTGTGAGAAAAATGCGCGGGCTGCACTATCACTCAACTTTGATATCAAGTGGGGACCACAAAATATCGTCCCATGGGCCGCAATTGGCCTGCGGGCTGCGAGTTTGAGACCCCTTCAGTAGAGGTTACAAAAAGATTTAAGGAATTAGATCTGATAGACAGAGTGCCTGAAGAACTATGGATGGAGGTTCGCAACATTGTACAAGAGGTAGCAACTAAAAACATCCCAAAGAAAAAGAAATGCAAGAAAGCAAAATGGCTGTCTGAGGAAGCTTTACAAATAGCTGAGGAAAGAAGGGAAGCGAAAGGCAAGGGAGAAAAGGAAAGATACACCCAACTGAATGCAGAATTCCAGAGAATAGCTAGAAGAGATAAGAATGCCTTCTTAAATGAACAGTGCAAAGAAATGGAAGAAAACAATAGAATAGGGAGGACCAGAGATCCCTTCAAGAAAATTGGAGATATGAAGGGAATGTTTCACGCAAAGATGGGCATGATAAAGGACAAAAATGGCAGGGACCTAACAGAGGCAGAAGAGATTAAGAAGAGGTGGCAAGATTACACAGAGGAACTATACAAGAAAGAGCTTAATGTCCCTGATAACCACGATGGGGTGGCCACTGACCTCAAGCCAGACATCCTGGAACGTGAAGTCAAATGGGCCTTAGGAAGTCTGAGCAACAGCAAAGCTAGTGGAGGTGACAGTATTCCAGCTGAGCTATTCAAAATCTTAAAAGATGATGCAGTAAAAGTGCTACACTCAATATGCCAGCAAACTTGGAAAACTCAACAGTGGCCACAGGATTGGAAAAGGTCAGTTTACATTCCCATCCCAAAGAAGGGCAATGCCAAAGAATGTTCAAACTACCACACCATTGCACTCATTTCACATGCTAGCAAAGTTATGCTCAAAATCCTACAAGCTAGGCTCCAGCAGTATGTGGACCGAGAACTACCAGAAGTACAGGCAGGATTTCAAACAGGGAGAGGAACTAGAGATCAAATTGCCAACATATGCTGGATCATGGAGAAAGCTAGGGAGTTCCAGAAAAGGGGAGAGAAAGCTTTAAATTAACTAAAACTAGTTATTTTCAGTTACAACCAATGGCATACAAAAGGTCCTTTTTGAGTTCTTTAGGAAGCAAATTTCAGGAGACTATGCCATCACCACTGAAAAATCTCTGTTTACTAGCTAAAATATCACTGGCCTAGACAAAGCAACTGCAAGCTGAGACTCCTTTGAGCATCTTAAATTGTGGAACAACACATATGAAAGGGACTTGTGGAAGGGTCCTCGGGGTGCTGGTTGACTGCAGGCTAAACATGAGTCAGCAGTGTGATGCGGTGGTCAAGAGGGCAAATGCCATCCTTGGTTGCATAGCCAGAAGTGTGGCTTCTAGATCAAGAGAGGTATTACTACCACTCTATACGACTCTGGTGCGCCCGCAACTGGAGTATTGTGCTCAGTTTTGGGCCCTCATTACTGAAAGGATATAGCCAGGTGAGAGTCAGTGCAGCATAGGGCCACAAGGTTGGTGGCCGGTTTGCAGGGGATGGGATATGAGGCGAGACTGAGGGAACTGGGTCTCTTCAGCCTGGAGGAGACTCAGAGGGGATCTGTTGGCGACATACAGGTATGTGAGGGGATGTCACATGGAGATGGGTAGAGACCTGTTCTCCCCTGCAGAGGAAGGCAGGACGTGCTCCAACGGAGCAAAGCTCAGGGAGCCAAGGTTCCATTTGGATGCCAGGAAGCACTTCCTGACAGTTCGGATCCCGAGGGTGTGGAATGGGCTTCCACAAGAGGTCGTTGAGGCCCCACTGGTGAGGGTGTTCAAAGATAGGCTGGACATGCACATGGTGGGCATGTCGTGAGCGGAGCCAGCTGGAGCCAGGGGTGAGACTAGATGGCCTGGGAGGCCTCTTCTGACTCGCTCTGTTTCTATATGACAGAATGCTGGTGTAAGCATTCTGGTGGAATGTTGGAATGGTGGAATGTTTACAATATGTAAAATGCATATGAGAAGTAGTTGTTGCTGTTGCTTATTTTAAACCTGAACCATTTTTTTTTTTACTACTTCCGTTCCTCGATATTTTAAGCATGTCCAGAGCAATGCATTATTTTAGTAGGTTAGCCTTTAGGCACAAAGGGATATCTTTTACTGTACATATGTTATGCTGCCAATTAATTCAGCAATCCTTGTCACATGGCCAGAATAAAACCCATGGCCTGACACAGATTTCAGTGATTATGCACACAGCATCTTGTTTTGAACAGCAAGTACATCTTTTTGTTGCAGTAAAGACAACTTGTTCTATAAAGAATTTAGTATTGCCATCTCCATAACACATTTTAGAGAGAGAATATATTTTATTTGTAGGATACAATTTGAAGCACAGAGTGAATTTTACATGAAAGATTTGTCAATTATTAATCAAGGCAATAACTAAGTAATATTCACGTTCATAAACTGAGAAGGCTCCTGTAACAAGAGTGTCCTCAATAAATTCTACCAGATACAGCTTCTTCTATGGCTGGTGCATTGTGGCAGAAAAAGCTGCATGTCCTTTATACTTATATGAAAAGCTTACAAGGATTCTCTCAAGGTCAGAACATGGCAACTTCATCTGTGCAGTTTAAAAAAAAAGCATCAGCAGGAAGATTCTGTTTAACCCAAGCTAGAGCTCATTTAGTATTGTAAGAAAAGAGGATTCATTAGTATTTGTAATTTCTGGCCTAACCTGCATAGTTGCTGACGTGCAGCATGTAAAATCTGGTTTGATCCCTAAGGCATTTAATTGAATTCTCGATGGGGTTTTATACTGCTCTCATTATCATAGTGTCCTAGTGCCTTCCATTAGTGCATTAAGCAACATTAACATCTGTCACTTGTGGTTTGCTCTTCTTCTCATTCTTTTCCCACTGAAGTGGAATTCGAGTAGCATTCCTTTCCATGTGAAGTTAAGGAGTGGTCATGTACTGAAGGAGATTTAACCTTAGTATCATGTCAAAACTCATTCACCATGGACTAACAGCTGCTGTGGATGTGATAACTTATGTCTTTGCTGAGCATTGCAACCTCCAAACAAATATGATCATAGTCATGGTAACCTGTTAATAGGCGGATCAGAGATTGAACAACATACAATCCCCCAATGTGCTTTTTTAATTTGGGGGAGCACTTGATTTAAGGGCAAAGGAAACAGCACATCTAGCCAAGCAGATGAGAGTTGTGGGATCTCTTGGGGTGTATTGATATTCTGTAACAGCAGTTTTTACAATCAATTACTGATTCGATCTCTTGGTTAATGCATCGTGTTTAATTACCTCAAAGAGGGCTATTCTTTATAATTAACCAGCAGCATGCCCATATAGCCTGTTCAAAGGTCATTGGCATGTGAAGAAATGCACTTTGTAAATTAAAAGTCCAGACAGCTTTAGCTACAGGCAGTAAAGAAATAATAATATCAATGCCAGTAAATAATAATATCAATGCAACAAGATGAATACGGCTAAAGATGAACTGGAGGTTAACGATTCAGCCCCAGAACCTGCATTCAGCGCTGGGGCTCAGCCTGTTAGAACATGCAAAGTGCATCTGAGCAATGCAAGCCATTGGCTGTTAGCACTAGCGGGCAGCTCATACTGCCTACACTGGCTGGGACTTCTGCGCCTCACTCACTCCAAAAATTGACTCCGACCGATAGTGCACCTGTATCCTCGCTCTCCAAAAGAGAGGCGGAACACTTGCGTTCGCCACAGCCGTACAAACAAGACGCAGCTCTCCCTCTGCTGTGTCACCATTTTCCTTCTCCCCACGCTCCCGTATCGCGGGTCCTCTTTTCACCAGTAGGTGTTGCCCTGTTGCCATCTCAGAACCGCGCCGCAAACAACCGTGTCATTTGCTAAAACCCAGCATGATAAAGGAGACGGCTTGTTGCAAGTAAGCCTCTTGTCACCTCTTCTTCACCGAGCAATCCCGCACTTCATAATGTCGTTTCCTATTTGCTTCTCCCAGTTTTCCAGTTCGCCCCTAAGAATAAAGTTAAACCGTAAAATCAAATTAAAAAATCAAGGTAGATGCAGCAGAAACACTTTGCTGTTAAGTACGCGCTCTTTCCCGCCTCGCTCTTTGTTCTCAGTCCCAACGGAGAGCCGCAAAGGGAATGTGGCAGAAAACAAAGCAAGGCAGCCCCGTTCTCAGCAGGAAGCGATTCGCCCGGACGTTTCAGGGGCATTACAAACTAGGAGGCGGTTTCTCATCTCCGCCTCCTTCTAGAATTGGGATCAGGGGCGATGAAGGGAAACTATGCATTATGTATGGATATTTATCGGAGCAAAATGTTCCAGTTCTGTCTTGCGAGCCGACAGACCGACTGCCTGTTGAAACAAATTACGAGAAAAATCTTCCCGCCCGCCCCTGCGAGGTTCAAAAAACGGGTGACCCAAATAGGCGGGCTTCTCGGCATTGTTACAAAGCCTCGCGGCTTCATTAAGCGAAAGCACTAGGGGCTGCTGCCCCCCCTTTCGCTTCAGGAACCCTTTCCGTGAAGCGAGCAAGTCCCAGAAGCACTTGCTTGCTGGTCCCTTTATTTTTGCGCAAGGGTTGGTGAATGGCTGTACTAAGGAAGCATTGCTCTGCCCCTTTCCTTTGGGGCCAGCGCCGCCGGCCTCCATATTTCCGCGCACGGCCACAAGGAGCACCCCATCCTTCTTGCTCTCCCCGCCTGCAGTTGCCCGATCTGCGGCCAGGTGTCCCAGAGCACGTGTCCCCTCCTCCTCCATGCCCCTCCCCCCGACGGCTGCTTCTGCCGGGACCGGGTTGGGCCAGCCCGGGCGGGGAGTCACATGAGCGGCCGCCAAAGTCTGTCTTCCGCGGTTGGCGAAGAGCCTTGACTGGGCCCGGGGGCGGCGGGAACTTTTATGGCCGCCGGCCCCCTCCCCGCCTTGCCGCTCCTTTGAGGAGGGAGCAGCCACTGAGCGACCACCTGTGAAGAGCATGCGCCCAACGCAGGTAACAGCCAGCCGCCCCGTACGGAAGCTTCGTCAGCTCTGCTCGCACGCTTTTCTCTCGCTTCTCTCCACACGCGCTGATGTAGCGCGAGCTGGGGCTCTTTTGTAGAGAGGGGAGGACCTCTTTCCTTCGCATACCTGACTCTCCTCGCGGGAGAGTTGCTTGGCACGGTGCACCGCCTGTTTGGTCTGCTTCCCTTCATTTGGCTGCCATGAAGTTTTTCCCAGTTCAAGCCTTGAAGGGACTCCTGTTCCTTTAAACAAAACTCCACCAGGTGAAGCTTTCCCCATCAGCGTAATCTGAGACGGGAGAAAGCAGCACCTGTGGAAACTTTCTCTACCACATAACTCCCTAAAAGATGATGGGCCTTCTGAGGGCTTAAATCTGGCAATCATAGTCAGGATTGAGAGAGAAAGGTATTTTACCTTCTGACTTGTTAGGACGAATCGGTGCTTGGATGCTGTCCGAGAATGAGTAGGTAGTTCTGCAAGTTTGATCTATGGAGGGGCTTTTCCTTCATCATGACCTGGGGATCTTTTGACCTTTTTTCCTCTAGTCAGATGCAGTAACACATGCAGGTCAGGTGTGCATAGTGATTTTCTTTTAATTCGCTCCCTTGTAGAGTAAGCGCAGGAGTAGTTACAGTGCACTTAAATCAGTTGTTTTGCCAATCCATTTAGTCAACCCATGCTTTTTGTCTTTGTTGTTAATTTTTTGTTTCATTAAAGGGTTGTATTCCAATATGTTTATGGTGACTAATTTCTACAAAGAGAACTGCTCTGGCTTTGAAATCACATTTATTGATTTGAGAGCTGTTTCAGTTCATGGCAGCTGATAACCAGGCTGTGGTTATTTGCTATTGCAAGACAGAAAGCCTTGCACATGCTTATAAGACACACTTTAGAAGTCTTATAAATCTTTAACAAATCTAACCCAGCAATATCTTTCAGGTAAGGCTATTTGTACCCAAATTTCAAACGAAAAGGTATGGCCTGAAAGTAAGACAGTATGAATTGTACATGGATCATATAGGATTCTGTGTTTTCATAGTATGGCATATAAGTGGATCTTTCCTTGCTTTCCTCCCAGTTTTCCAGTTCTGTATGGGATTGAAGTGTTTTCATGCAACATCCGCACCAGTCCTTATAACACCAACTTGGAAAGCTGAACAGAAAACTGTGCTTCCTAAGATACTACTTTGGTGGTCCAGTGGCTGAACTGGTGTTGCCATTGCTTAGCTGCTTATGGTGATCATGGTTACTCAGCTTTGGATTAGCAATGATCAGTACAGGTCGTATTATTGTCCCCAGTGTGCTTGCTGCTGCTACACATACTTCACCTTTTTGTACTAAGAACTCAAAGCAATGAAGGACAGTAGGCTATCGGTGCAGCACAACCTATCAGGCAGAATGGAAGTTTCAGCTCATCCAGTTCTCACAAACACTGCTGTCTGGAATCAGTCTTTCATTGAGTCTTGATTTGTTTTCTTTCCCATGGAGAAAATTTGTCAGTTCTTAGTGTAGGGCCACTCTAATCAAAATCAGAGTTTTGCTGTCACTGACCTTCATATCAATTTTGAAGCTGTAAAGTTAACACAATTTTTGCTTTTGATAATTTGCTATGGTGTTTTTTGGTATTGGTATTTTTACTTTGAAAAGTTTAAGCTCAGTTGTCACTTTTTCCTGCTTACGCCTTTACACGTGCACAGTAGTCAAAAATGTGACAGTTTTGGCATTTCTTGCATAAATGCAGTGATAAGCATGCTTGTTGAATTTCTTTCTGTTGTACAATGGTTGAAGGCACAAGCATTCTGCTAGAAACAAAGGTACCAACTGTGGGTTAACCTGATTGTCACACTTAATGATACTATTAGGTGAATTGCATTTCTTAGAGTTCTGTGAGCCGCTTGTCCCATAGCACAGAACCAGGGGAGGAAAAGTCATTCATCATTCTATACCTTCATAGTTAACTGAGATTTCCGTTTTAACTTTTTTTCAAAGGAGATCCTTTGGTGAAGTCATAGGAAATGGATTCAGCCTGCTTGAAATATTTTCTGTGAAATACCTGATGAACCTTACAGAAAAGGATATACTAGTGGGGATGACTGGCAAATATTTTTTCTAAGTGTGGAACTTGCACCTGCTATGGAGCAAAGTGAGAGTCAGCAGGGGCCTGCACCAGAGACTCAAGAAGACAGCAAAAGCAGTGCAAGACCTTTACCTGGGGGTGCTGTCCCTGTCAAGGGGGAAATAAAGAAAAATGCTGTTACTGATGACTACAAAATTTCTAAGCAAGTCCTGGGTCTTGGCATTAATGGCAAAGTACTGGAATGCTTTCACAAGGTGACAGGGCAGAAATGTGCTTTAAAGGTATGTAAAGTTATTTTTCTTATTTGATTTGGTGGCTATAAAAGCAGCTGTTGTCTTCCCTGGTGAGGCTTAGATGTTCCAGAAGAATTCATATCTGAAATTCTAAACTACACATAGAGAAATTTTATGTTGTTAAGGGCCCAGTTGTAAAGCTTCTTCAGTTAACCAGTGTTTTAAATTACTAATTGTAAAATTGTTTTGCTCCTTAGTGTGGGCTAAAATAAGGTTGCTGCTTCTTCCGCACACACCCCCAAGTGAGTCAGACAGTGATTTGAATACTGAAGCTACACTGTAGTGAACCAAGAAAACATTGCTGGAGTTCAGCAGTGCAAGAGTTCCAAACTCACAAAGTGCATTTCCAATATCACCTCAGTGTCGATGGATAGCAAAAGCCAATAGAGTTCAGATGCAAGGGTTTTGCACATGAAAACTTTGTTTTATGTAATGGGCTACTTTGTTTTGTACTGTTAAAACTGAGCTAATAGACATTTTCATTATTGCAGTATAAGAATTCCTCCTACAGGAGTACATATTTTTCATACACATTGTTAATATGGTGGTACTTAATATGCAATTAATCTCCACTGGAGGGGTGAGTGTGTGGTGTCTCTGTATTGTTAATCTTTCTCTTACTGATTGGTAATCCATTACTGTACCTTAAACCCGTTTTGTGGGGAGCAGGCTCAGAATATTTAGTAGAGGGATTTCTTTTCTATTTTTCAAAACTGTTTTTCCATATGTGAATGTTGGAATATATTATCGAGAGAGTAAACATCCTGTTAAATGATATATTTATGCTTGCAGTATTGACACTGATGTCAAAACAAGTCCATGACTAACAGGCTAGGCTGGATCTTTCCAGGTACCTTGGGGTGGTGCGGATAATATCAGAGGGTGGTGCTCATTGTACTCTTGCCAAATTTGATTTTGAACAAAATACGCAACTCAGTTGCCACATATATACAAATGGGGGTATAACAGAAGTAGAATATATTGGCTTGTTTATATTGGCATGAAGTGTTGAGGAGGGAAAGTATATACCCCTCTGCAGATGCCTCCATTCTTTGACTTTGGTTTTTAAGAACATGGGACAGAGTAAGCTGGACTGCAAAGGAACTCTTTTTCAACCCCAGCAACCAAGCAACAGAAACAGTTGTGTTGGCTGTTCACAGGAAAAGAGAAAGCAAAGATTTTTTGGAAGTGGAGAGACTGGTGGTGTTCAAACATGACATAAAACCATTATGTCCCTTTTCTTGTATTGACTGAAGGGAAGAAATTAGAAGCTCCCCACAAGCAGAGTTCATAGGAAAGCATGGTTTGTTATGTTAGAATCACTGTTTGCCAAGGTTTCTGGCAATGATGGAAAACATGATTGAAGCTTTCATTTCTGGAATGAAGTAGATCAGCAGAACTTGGAAAAAGGAGCTTTTCTGCTTGTTTCTGGGATGTCTGTCGGAAGTGTTAGTTCCCAATTGCTCAGACAGTAGGTTACATTTGTGTAACAGAAAAGGGTAAAGTGCTGTATGTTGGATATTGCCCATGGGCTGTATACAATATTACAGGGGTGGCCAGACTTGCTGAACAGAAGAGCCACGTACCATACACATCTTTGTTAGGTTTTTTGTTAGGTTATGAACTCCAGTTGTCCATGGTTAACAGCGCATAGTTAAACCATAGTATAGGGTTTGCCCAAAATGACAGCCCATAGTTCAATAACCTGTGTTTCAGTGACAACCTATGTTCAACTTATATTCAGCACATACTCTGGGTTGTTATTTTGTGTGAACTAGGTCCATGACAATCGAAAATTCAACAAGCCCTAGGTTAAAGAAATTATGGCCTCGTATGAGAGCCAGGTCTATGTAAGAGGGTTGTACTATAAAGAACTTCATATGCATGCACACATTTTCCATGGTTTGATTTGCTTGTGTATATTTCAGAGATAGTAACATTATTCATTGTGATATTAACATTTATATAAGGAGTTCAATGTTCAGATACTTTCTTTTAAGGCAGCATTCCTTGGCTAGACTGTGTATACTGTTATCTGGCTCCAATTTTTTATATTCAATCACAAACTATAGATTTATTTTTCTGATGAGTACTGGCAGATTCACCGTATTAAGTAATCTGCTTCCTTGCAACAGTTTTTCCACAAATGATACTAAGAGAACACTTTAGAGTGTCTTATGTCACTTCTCTGTGTTAATATGAAATAAAGAAAAAGTGATTTTTGAATGCATAATAAATATGTAATTTATGAAAACAGCCATGACATAAGTTTTGTATTTCTGATCCTTTAATGTCCCATCCAAGATCCTTCTTGATACATATTGATGTAGAAACAATAATCTCTGAACAGAATTATAGTTCCTTAGCATTAATTTCTAACCAGAATCTGTATTTGCAGATGAGACAAGGATGGAAAGGGGATAAACAGCCTATAAATTGGTATTCAAATTTCTGTTGACATATAGTGTATGCAAAAACCATACTAATTTCACAAAATAAATGGTATAAAGTTGTATAAATGGTATAATATAAAAAAGGGATTTCTACAGTATTTTGTTTTTAGAATAATCTTTCTTACATTAATAATATAAACTACGACCATTAAAAAAGTCTTACTACCATCCCTACCCATAAAAGACTATGATAAAGAATGCAATATTTTGACATCTGTAATTAGTCAATGATCACACTTATCTATTTACTTTTTAGCATCAACTAGTTGGACTGACTCTTAACGATCCCTGACAGTTGGAGATGTATTCTTAACAGTTTTTCAATCAACAGCTATCCTTTAGAGACATTATTTAAAGAAGACCTATGGAAAACCATTGGGTAATATGGTATCTGAATGCGAGCATGGACTGCTAATGAAGGCAATTTATTGTAGGAACACCCAGAAACCAAGAACAAGAAAATATAGAGGCATTCATTTATTCTTTGTGCATTCCTATAGTGGGTGTGGGAGTATTCCATATATTTATAAGGGTACATGGATTTACGCATAACCAGATATTCTGCACTGAAGCTCCATTTCAAGTTACTCTTACCCATCATAGTTTTGTTGTTGAGAATGCTGATTCAGAGTAGGCTTCTGGCATCATCAGACTCTCTCCGAAGCTTTTCTGGACTTGGCAGATAGCTTCTCCTTGCCAAGAAGCTTTCTTTCACTGTGGGAACAAAATTGGAACAGTCTCAATATGGACAGATTACTCAATGGAAAGAGTTTTTACTCAAGTACTTGATGCACAAAGGCTTTAAATGTGGAGAAAAGCTTGTCCATAGAGCCAGATGTCATTCATTCTGCACACTGTAGCTGGGAGGTCCTATTTGTTTCTTGTAAATGGAATTACTTAAAATGTTCACTGATGATTTGTCTTAAGAGTGTAAAATATACCATTGCCAAATACAGTGTAGGCACTTTAATACTGGATTGGTTATTTCCTTAAACTGTTAAGTAGGTTGAGTTACTCTGCTTGACATAGGAAGTATCTATGCACTTCTAGGAGGTGATGTCAGGTTTGCCTCCACTTGAATAAAATGTGACACACATCATTCCCTTTTTCCAGAGAATGCAAACTGGTTACTAGTTTATAAGCCAAACTATTTGAATGGCAGTATTCTCCCATGCTTGGGATGCATGGATTTAAGAGGACAGATGGGTAAACATGGCTAGTTTGTGCCAACCACAAGGTGATATCCTAAAATCCATGCTGGTTTGTGCCTGTTTTTTAAACATGATTTTCCTGTGAGGCTCTGGTTCAAGGAGACTAATTTTGTGAATTTAGCAGTTTTATGCCTATAAAAATTCTCCATACACTAGGATACAGATCTGCAATAGGGAGATACAGTAGGATATCAGAGATTTACTAATTTTAATGATTGCGGTCAGGGGACAGATGCATTGAAATGTTTTTTATTGCCTAGTATAAAGAGCGTGCCCCCTTTACTGGGGCTAATCTAGTAGTAATTGCATGTATTATCAGGGAGTGCCAGTTACCAGTTCCTATTGCTCTAGAGGGTACTCTCTGTTAAGACCAACAGTGTTCCCTGAATATTGAGCTCCTTAGGTGGTGATATTATTATTTTACATTTATATCCTGCTTTTCTTTGTCTTGCAAGGAACTCAAGGCACGTTTGCAAGGTCCTCTCCATTTCATCATTGCAACAACCCTGTGAGGTAGGTTAGGCTGAGAATATGTGATTGGTTCAAAGTCACCCAGTTGACTCCATGGCTGAGTAGAACCCAGATCTACTGAGTGTATTGCAACATTCTAGCCACTAAACCACTATGCTACACTGGCTCTCCAATGTAGTATTTCAGTTACTATTAAAAGCTTGATCCACAGAAAGGGATACAAATAATTAAAATGGATTAATTTCATCATAAGCAATTTTTGATTCCCCTCTTTTCCTTTTTAATTACCAACAGTTAATGAAATGGAGGTTAATATTCTAAAATACATGACAGAAGCATTTGCAGAGGAGTTTCTTAATTATTTGGGCTAGTAGGCACATTTAGCATTTTTGGGAGTAGTAATGGGTTCCTTGGTAGATGCAACCCATCACAAAATCTCCATTTCACAGTTAGTCAATATTGGTGAGGTTAAAGTACAAGTAGCTTGTTCAAGAACTTGAATGCAACACAGGTGTGAAGTCTGAACCTGAACCCACAAAGCTTTCTCCTGTCACCTCCCAAACACACTCCTTTCCTCCCAACACTTATAACACACAAGATCCACCCAGATCCTTATTTCTTTCTCTAAGAATCACTCCCCCAGACACACGGTTCCCACTTTTTTCCCATTGCAGGTCACTGCACAGGCCTCTGTAAACCTTCTTGTTGCTCAGCCTCCCTCCCTCCATCCTCCTCCCCTACATTGGGTCACCTACTGCCCTGCCTCCCTTCCTTTTCTACTGCAGCCTTGCTCTCCCTACTGCTTCTTCCACCCCATTGGGTTGGGCCAATCTTCTACTTCCTCCAATTCTCA